GTGATCCAAACTGGTCTGGACAAGTACGCAGTCCTGCAGAAACATTTCACTTCTATTAGCTTAGTACCAACGATTAAATTCTCCCAAATCATGTTAATAAAAGTAAAAAAATCATTTCACCTCAAAGTAGAATTTCTCTAGATGCTTACCTTTACCATGTAAATGACCAGCATACTTACATATACTCAAGCTTATCCCCAAAAACTTTAAGGTGGAAATGACCAGAATTACTTTCCAATTTTAAATTCTAAAGTCTATCAAAATGAGTGGACTGAAAAGAATAGCTGTACACTAGCACTCAGCTCGCATGTTAATCACTAAAAACAGAGGCAAACTGGAGTAATGAGAACATTCTAAATCTGACTGTGGTGGTTAGGACACAACTCAGGGACTAAAGTGGAAACCACTCAAGTGCACACTTTCAATGGGTGAGTGTCTGCTGTGTGAATTACATCTAAAGGTATAAAAATGCAAATGCTCAGAACCTTGGAGCACCCTCAGCATAAAACTGCATGTTCTAGAACGAGACTGGCCAATCTGCGGTCTCAGGGCTGCCAGGGCTCTTCAGCACTTTGAGCCTGGTCCTCCACACCCCGCAAAGACTAGCATACCAAGCATTCCTTTTAAAGGGAGAGAGGAAGAGAGAGAAGAGACTTTCGCATTCAAGTGAGCATCTCGTCATCTGTGTCCGCAGCTGGGTTTCTCACGGAGCCTCTGCTGAGGTCCGGGGAACGGGAGCTGCCCCCTCAGTCGGACGTGTCACCACACAAGCATCCCAACTCAGTGGTGGCCACCAGTGGTGCTCCACTGGCAACCGGTGTATTCTGTGTGGAACCGGTCTGTGTATTCAGGTACGACCTGCATGACTAAAAGCTAAAAACAAGACTTGTTCAGCGGACTGTGGTGGTGGCCATCAGCCTACAGTGTGAAGACACGGGAAGGGAGGAGGCAGGACGTCAGCCCCACAGAGTTTGCACTCCAGAAGCAAAGGCAGCAATACAAACAAACCACAGTACGTCACCGCTCCAAGCAACGACAAAGCAGGGTGATGTAGGACAGGCAGCATCTTCACAGTGGGTGGCGAGGAAAGGCTGTCCTGAAGTAACGGCTGCATTGAGGCTGACGAGTAGGAGAAAGCTCCCACCCACAGCCCAGCGCTGAGGCACAGCAGCCTGCTGCCTGCAAGGAACCATACCGCTGGGGGTTGGGATGCTGAGCAACCCGGGGGGGCTGGTTTGCCTATGTCGTTTGCTTGCTGGAATACAGCGAGGTGACATCAGACAGGCTAGCTGCAGATCTTACCCTAGGCACGAGAAGCCACTCAAGGATTTCAAAAAGGAACTATTTTAATTTCCTCTGCCAAAACAATACCTAAGACTAAGTTATGGCCGATGCCACCATAAGGAGAAAGTTGGCTTTCTTCTTTTTTAAAGATTTTATTTATTTTTTTGATAGAGACACAGCGAGAGAGGGAACACAAACAGGGGGAGTGGGAGAGGGAGAGGGAGAAGCAGGCTCCCTGCGGAGCAGGGAGCCCGATGCGGGGCTCGATCACAGGACCCTGGGATCATGACCTGAGCCGAAGGCAGACGCTCAACGACTGAGCCACCCAGGAGCCCCAAAAGGAGTTGGCTTCTTATAAAAAACCAGAATGACCGAAGGGACACAAAGGAACTCTGTGGGGGGGTGATGGAGATGTTGTAGGTCTTGACTGGTGTCACTCTGTTACACAACCATGGGAGCTTATCAAAATCCACAGAACATGACACCTAGAAAGAATACATTTTACTTTCCGCAAACTGCACCTCAGACTAAACAAACAAAAAAGCTTAGAAAATATATACGCAAAGCTAAAATAGAAGCAAAATATAATCTGTCATAAATGACTTCCTAGGCTTTTAATGAAGGAGTGTTTCTTTCCACATGTACTAGTTAAACGACAAACTTTGATTACTTACTCATTTAAATAACAAATTATCTCAACGATACTCTTACTAATAAATGATCTGTGTCGGGCGCCTGGGTGGCTCAGTCGTTGAGAGTCTGCCTTCGGCTCAGGTCATGATCCCAGGGTCCTGGGATGGAGCCCCGCGTCGGGCTCTCTGATCAGCAGGGAGTCTGCTTCTCTCTCTCGCTAACTCGCTATCTCTCAAAATAAAGTAAGTAAAATCTTAATAAAATAAAATTATCTGTGTCCACGTGTTATCCTGGGCAATGTAAGGAATAGAGGGAAATGTAAGACAACAGTATTAGCAACTCAAGGACACAATTTCAAGGAAAAATTCACACAGAAAGCAGTTACTGATTACTGAGCCCCAAGATACATAAACCTTGCTCTCCAAGTTCATTATCACTACTCAAGCCTTACACCTGACCCCTCACTAACACAACCTGCCACACAAATTTGCATTTTTGCCATAGCCGTCTGAATATGAAGTTAAACCTATGAGGTCAGAGGCACCTGGGTGGCTCAGTCAGTGAAGCATCTGCCTTCGGCTCAGGTCATGATCCCAGTGTGCTGGGATCGAGCCCCGCATCGGGCTCCTTGCTCAGCAGGGAATCTACTTCTCCCTCTGCCTCCTCCACTTGTGTGCATGCGTGTGCGCTCTCTCTCTCAAATAAATAAATAAAATCTTAAAAAAAAAAAAAGAAAGAAAGAAAGAAAGAAAGAAAAAGAAAAACCCTATGAGGTTAAACTTACTAGTCCTTCAGCACAGTGAAACCTCTCCTTCAGAAACCATTCCTGAACCCTAGGCCAGGCTAAATGCTTCTCCTCAGGGGCTGTCACGTACTCAAACACTGCCTTTATGTATCTGTCCCTCTCCTGATTGCAAACGTCCTGTGGAAAGATTCCATCTTGTATTCTTTTTATTCTCAATGCCTAACAATATTTGGTACAAAGATGCACAATAAATGCAAAACTAAACTTGCTATGTGCCAGGCACTGAACTAAGCTCTTTATAAATATTTCAGGTGAGAAAACAGATTCCTGCACGTAAGTAGCTCGTCCAAGACAGAAACGAGATTAAACTCTGCTCAGGCTAGGAAGTCCAAGCTCCTTCCCTTCCCTTCCCTTACCCCAATAATGTAAATGGTATTCAAGAATATTGGCTGGGTGTTTTTTTGCGGGGAGAGAGGAAATCATTAAAGTCAAGTATGGTGGAGATCTCTTCAAAGGGGTGGAACTTGAACCTGAAAAAAGGGGGAAGGGAAGGGAAAGGGGGGAAAAGAAATAGCATAAACAAAGATCCAGACTGGTATTCAATATGATTCATAAATATTCTGTAATCTAGAAGCATGCCCTGTTAAAATATTTTTACCCCCCCAAAAGTCCCACAACAGCCACATCAGGATCTCAGCCACTTTAGGCCATCTGTGTTTGAAACTCCAGGACAAGGGCTTACACGTAGTGGGAGCAAAAAGAAATTAGCTCAGCCCATTTAGAAGAAAAGTTACACTTACCATGTGCTCGTACACACACTGAGGTGGAAACAGCTCGCTTGCCAATTAGGCTAAACACTCTGGTAGCCAACATTCTGAAAGATAAAAACGTACACCCTCTCCATGAATGAGGGCAAACACCTATTAGGAATTCCAGTGCATTTTACTTTGTTTTCTTCCCCCCAGCATAGATGATCCGTTCTTCCTTACTGACTCTAATTCACAAAATAACCTAAGATGAGGTTTTTCATAGCAGTCAACACGTTTTTACGGAGCTTCATTATAAACCAAATACCATAACATATACACACTACAGGAAATTAGTAAAAAACTGGCTTTCTTAAAAAACAAGGAGAAGGGCGCCTGGGTGGCTCAGTCGGTTAAACGACTGCCTTCGGCTCAGGTCATGATCCTGGAGTCCCTGGATCGAGTCCCGCATCGGGCTCCCTGCTCGCAGGGAGCCTGCTTCTGCCTCTGACCCTCCCCCCTCTCATGTACTCTCTCTCATTCTCGCTCTCTCAAATAAATAAATAAATCTTAAAAAAAAACAACAACAACAACAAGGAGAAGGAGTTTTCCTAAGACTGAAAAAGCTAGAAACCCTACAGCGCTGAGCTGCTATGATAGGCTCCACTGTTTGGCGGAAAAGAATAAACAGCTCAAAGGGACCGGCATGCACTGCACGCAACTGAGTATTTGATTAAAAACCTAACAGGTGCGTAGGATAGGAAGGGAAAGGCAGGCAGAAAGGCTGCAAGTACGGCCTGGTCCACTTCCAGTCCCTGCGGACAACGGATGACCTGGATGACCCACCTCTCACCTGGGCCCTTCCAGCGTCGGGCCCTTTTCCCCTAGCTCCCCCTGCTTTAAAACCGGCCCTTTCAGGGGACTGCTGACGACGAAAGGGACTCGTAACGCATTAGGAAAAGACCCCCTTTGAGACAGAATAAACAGAAGCATGACGTCAGGGCTGAGCCAGCTCGCACCCCGCACCTTCTCTCCCCGGGCCTGGCTCGCGCGTGGGCGGACGCTGGGCGGCTCCCGGGATGGAAGGCGGAGCGCCTCTCCCAACCCCGTTAAACCGGGGACGGTCGCTCAAGCCGCGGCTGGAGGGCGGCGGGCCCAGGCTGCAGCGCGGACCCCGGGCCCCGCCCTCGGCCAGCGGGCGCTCCAAGGTCAGAGCTCGAACCCAGCTCGCGGCCGTGGCGGCGCAGATGCAGCCGGGCCGGATGCTGCGAGGCGGCACACAGGCCGCGACCCGGCGGCCTCCGAGCCCCGAGCCCCCGCCGGCCGGTCTCAATGTCACCGGACCCCGAGGCCCGACCACCGCTCCCTCCTGGCGCCCGGGCGCGGAGCCGCGGGCCCACTCGCCCGCCCCCTCCGCGTCCCTGGCCCTCCCCGGCCCCGCGGCGAGGGCCGCCTGCAGCCCGCTGCCCGCTCACCTGCCGCCGCCGCCCGCCGCCGCCCGCCGCGACCGCCGCGACCGCCCTCTGTGCCCCGGCTGCCCGCGACCGGAAGAGACTGCGCGCGCACGCGAAGCACCACGGGATCGAGGAGGACGCGGCCGCGCCGGAGGTCACCCAAACGGAAGCAGGGAAGCGCCGCGCGCGTCGTAAAAGGCCGGGCCGGACCGCTTTACGGCGGCGCCGAGAGACCGCTTTACGGCGGCGCCCGGCCAGAGGCGCGAGTGGGGAGTGAGGCGGGCGCGTCGGCTCCTCCCGAGCGGGAGTCGGTGTGTGAGGAGCCCGTCCCGTGGCCGGGCCGGGGCTCTGTGGGCCTCCACCGGCCGCGGGGCCGCGCCGGGCACCGTCGCCTCGTCCCGCTTCTCCGCCGAGGCGCCGCGCGGCCGGGCGGGGGCCCAGGCCTCAGCCGGCGCCAGGGCCTCGGGGGCCCTGCGGGGCTCAGCATGCCCGGGGTGAAGCTGACCACCCAGGCTTACTGCAAGATGGTGCTGCACGGCGCCAAGTACCCCCACTGCGCCGTCAACGGCCTGCTGGTGGCCGAGAAGCAGAAGCCGCGCAAGGAGCACCTGCCCCTGGGCGGCCCGGGCGCCCACCCCACCCTCTTCGTGGACTGTATCCCCCTCTTCCACGGCACCCTGGCCCTCGCCCCCATGCTGGAGGTGGCCCTTACCCTGGTAAGCGCGGGAAGGACGGCGTCCCCTCCCCTCGGCGTCCGCGGGTGAGGAAGTCGGCGTCCGGGCGGCCCCAGCGGGACGCGCCCCCCCCCCACCCCGCGGTCGCCGTGACGAGGGGCCTGGTACCCCGCGGGCGCACGGGGTGCAGCAGCCGGGGCGGGTGCTCTTAGGGGCGCGTTAGGTGGCGAGTCACGTTCACTTGCTCAAACCCGTGGGCTCTTTGGAAAGAAGCCGCAGCTGACGGGGGCCGTGGCTCCGCAGCGCTTCCGTCGGGGATCTGGGCGTGTGGGGACTGAGACGCTGCAGCTTGGTGCCCGCGCACCGTCCCCGAGCGCGTACCTCGTCTGCCGCGAGTGTCGACGCTGTGGTTCTGGGGCCTTAGTGCTCCGCAGCCCCAGAGTCGAGGCACGTTGAGGGGCTAGCGTGGCCTTGGCGGGCGCTCGTCCCCTTGAATGTGCGTGAGCGCTGCGGAGGGAGAACGGCCCCGTCCCCTCTAATGTCTTAGCTACACTGCGCCCCACATGTGAGTAATAAGCTCCCTGCCCGTCGTGCGGCTCGAACTCAGCACCTCGAGATCGAGAGGCGCGCGCTCCACTGGCTGAGCCAGCCAGGCTGCCCCTAGCATGCACCCAGGGTTTCCGACCCGAAGGACTCCCCGCGACATTAGGAAGACCTCGTAGCCACGCTCTGAGGGGGCCACCGGCGCCGCTGCTTTACTGCAGCGCGGCAGGCGAGAGCTTGAGCGTACGGATCCGCGGGCTGGTGACGGAGCTCTAGGCAGTGGCTTCTGGGTGTTGACCAGTGGAGGAAAAAAGACCACTTGTAAGTTCCACCGAGTTGTTAAAGCCTCAGGGGAACATCACCTGTAACCTCAGAGCTGTCTCAGAACCCGAGTTGAGGTACTGTTCACTTTTCACGTAAGTATAATCCGTTTTTTTTTTTTAAGATTTATTTATTTATTTATTTGAGAGAGAGGACGAGAGGAGAGAGCGAGCAGATGAGAGGGGGGAGGGTCAGAGGGAGAAGCAGGCTCCCTGCCGAGCAGGGAGCCCGATGCGGGACTCGATCCCGGGACTCCAGGATCATGACCTGAGCCGAAGGCAGTCGCCCAACCAACTGAGCCACCCAGGCGCCCTTTATTTATTTATTTGAGAGAGAGAGAATGAGAGAGAGCACATGAGAGGGGGGAGGGTCAGAGGCAGAAGCAGGCTCCCCGCCGAGCAGGGAGCCCGATGCGGGACTCGATCCCGGGACTCCAGGATCATGACCTGAGCCGAAGGCAGTCGCTCAACCGACTGAGCCACCCAGGCGCCCCACTTAAGTATAATCCTAAAAAAAGTTACTTAGTTCATAGAAGAAGTAGTAAGTTTGAGGTGTAGGTAGAGATCCTTTGTCTAGATTTCACGCCAAGCAAAATGAACCCGTTTCACAATTCACCTAATTATGACGCCCATGTAAGCAGGAAGTACCCCTGAGCAAACGGTCCTGCCCTAAGGTTACTGGGCACATCTTTGAGTGCCTGTTAAACTGAGCCATTTTATGATTTTCATCATCTCATCTCTGGAGAGGACATGGGTAGGATGTAGATACTTAGAAAATCAGTCATTTTAGCTCTTGAAGAAATGTGCTGTCAGTACCAAATCATCACTGGGGTGTGCACGTGTATGTTTTAATGCAAGTCCTTTCATCCTTCTGCCTTAATTATTCTGTTCTCAGGGGAATTGCAGGGTGATTGGATATGTGAAGTGCAATCACTTGCAGGGAACTAGATTTACCAGGAGCATTAATGCAGGATTTTTCAGTTTTCCAACAGTGTGCCAGGTCTGTGCTGGGGGAGGGCTTGGCTGTGGATCCCAACACCTGCTTAGCACTTGAACTTGCAGGAAGCAGAAGGTACAATACCAAAGAATAAATGCTATATGTGGGCTTAAGCAAAATGGTGAGAGGTCCATAGCTAACCCAGGCTTCCAGAGTGGGGGAGGGCAGGCAGCCTGGAGAAGTGGGCATGCAAGGAGTGACACAGTGGGCCAGCCATAGTAATGGGGGGCATGGGGGGTGGGTAGGGGGGAGGTGAAGGGGGAGCATTCAAGGCAAAGGGACCAGTGTGTGCAAAGACCAGAAGGAAATGGGGGAGGGGGGGCTAGAGTGTAAAGGGACCAGGGGTAGAGAGGGGATCAGTGGACAGATTTCATCATAGAGCAACTTGCAGATCACACAAAGAAGTTGGGGCACCGTCATGAGGACAGAGGGAAGCCACTGGAGGAGAGTCGCATAGTTGGATTGTGTCTCAGTGATCGCCCCAGCCTGCAGCAAGGAGACAGAGTGCATACAAGACCAGAGGCAGAGAGGTGGCCTACACTGAGTGCAGTTTGGATGCAGAGGAGAGAGAACCAGGAGGAAGAATCTGCAAGACTCAGTGATTAATCATATGTGGAGAGAGGGAGAAGGAAACAAGGGAGACACCTCGGTGTCTGATTTATGCATTGGACAACAGTGGTACCATTTATTGAGGGAAAATGAAGATGAACTACTGTTGAACGTTGAAAAGTGGGTCTGGGGGCACCTGGGTGGCTCAGCTGTTGAGCGTCTGCCTTCGGCTCAGATCATGATCCCAGGGTCCTGGGATCGAGCCCAGCATCGGGCTCCCTGCTCGGCGGGAAGCCTGCTTCTCCCTCTCCCACTCCCCCTGCTTGTGTTCGCTCTCTCGCTGTGTCTCTCTCTGTCAAATAAATAAATAAAATCTTTAAAAAAAAAAAAAAAAGAAAAGTGGGTCTGGAGTTGAGAAGATGGATGGACTGGAGACATAGATTGAGAACCGGTAGCTTCTCAATGACTGTTGAAGCTGTGAGAGCAGGCCATATTGGCAGGGCAGCATGTGGGATGAGGAGGGAGCTATGGAGAGAAGCCTGAGAACTGTTGCTTCTATGGGGTGGATGAAGAAGAGAGTCGGGCGGGCTAGCTGAGGAATAGCCAGAGGGGAGAGATGTGTTGCGTTAAATCCATTTAAAATTCTATCAGAAATATCTAAGCATCTTAAAGACAAACTTGAACCTCAGTTGGAATTGTCGAAGTATTATTAGCACTTCTCATTCTTAAGTAATCTTTACAGAATTGAAGTGTTATGTTACTATTATAAGATATAAATGCAATACTTGAGGGAATTAAACATAAGAACTATAAACAACTGCGCTGGAGCAGAGCTGCCTCCCAAACCACTTAACTAGGGAGGGAAGATGCCCAGAAGAGACCTTGACTCTTAAAATGGCCCACTGCCATCAGCCTGTTAAGAGGGAGAGGGGCACTGCATGAGGCCCTATTTTGGTCTTGCTCCCCTGTATCACTGCACTCTGCCCTCACTCTCAGCTTGCAGCACTTCCCCAGACATGCCCATCAGTGTTTGAGGCTCCCATCCTGCAAAATTAAGTCTAAACTAGACTCTGTGCAACTTTTTTTTTTTTTTTTAAAGTAGGCTCCACACCCAGCGTGGAGCCCAACTCAGGGCTTGAACTCACAACCCTGAGATCAAGACCTGAGCTGGGATGAAGAGTCGGATACTTAACCTACTGAGCTACCCAGGCGCCTGCATCTGAAAATTTTTTATTACATTTAAGGTATTTATGTTTGTGCCATTCAGCTTTTGACTTAGCAACTTTATAACCTGAAGGCAATGGTCTCAGCATATCGGCCATAGTTTATCAAAATATCAGCTATGGTAGATGTGATTTTACTAAGACTTCTAAATCCATGAAACTATATAAATGAGGCTTTATTCTCGTGGCTTTTTTCTATTCAGGGAGTTTCATATTGTAGTTATTTTTAGTAAGTGGGAAAGACTGGCTTGATATGCAGTCCATCAAAGGGCAGCACCAGATTCCTTTGAAAAGCTTTTCATTATCATTTTCCATTTAAAAAAAAAATCCTTGCATTTCTGGGTGCTTTTTGTTTTGTTTTGTTTTTTAAGTACTTATGCCTGTTATTTATCCTAATAACCGTAGGTAGTGACGTAGGTAGTGACGGAATTATTTCTAATAGCAAAAACCCATAAAATGTTAGCAGGAAAATTAGCATAGATCTGCTGTTTCTGTAATCCCTTTTTGTCCTTTTCCCCTCGTTGATTTCCTGGTTCTGTGGAGCAGCTTTTGATTACATTCTGCTGAGATGACTTTCTTAGTTGCCGGTTGGTCTCATCACCTTGATTTCGGCCCAGAATTCTTTCTGCTGCCTCCATGTGTGCCTTCTCTGTGCTCATTTGCATGGGCTACTGTCCTCTAGCTCTTTCCTAAGCCCCCTACTTATTCTGCCCCGTGTTATCTCCAGAACATTGACGTGCTAGCCTGGAAGAGGGAGACAGCTGCTCTGGTCCTCTTTTCGGTTCTCCCCACTGAATTTCACCCTCTCCCCATCCCATTTACCCCCATTTACTTTCATGGCTCCGGCTCCTTCCCGTTCCATAGAAAAACCAGCATCCCACTTGAGAAGGAGCTTTTCTTCTCAGTGAATCTAGCAAGCCCTCTCAGGCTCCCACAGCCTGCTTGTTGCTGCAGACAGCAAGGCTTACAGACACCCTCAGCTTTTAAGTGGCAAGTGTGGGAGTGATGCCCTCCTCAGAATGGCTCTTATCAGGTCTTTCTTACCGGCTTTGTGGTGATGGCGTAGTCACAGGAGGTAGGTAACAGTGCTTTGGAAAACGTATAGTGTCACACATGCAAATGCTGGCAAGTTTGTGGGGAGAAGCTCGTTTCTTTGTGCAGAGCTGAACTGGGAATGAACAGGTAGGGCCTGGTGCCTTTAGTGGTTCTCCTGTGTGTCTGACATGGAACGAGCCAGAAAGGCATTGGACAGAGGGTGACGGGCTTATGCACGGTAAAAGTGTCCTCCTTCCCCTCTGAAAGGTGGAATAAATCACGAAGCACGTGTGAAATTTGGACTCTGTATGCAGAGTCCGTTGTACTAAGTTGACATCAGGTTTCAGAGTGCTGTCCTGAACTGTGGTCTTCACTTGGATTGTTCACAGGATGTGTGGCAGGAGAGCAGGGAAAATGGAAAATGGATTTGCAGAGAACAGAGGTCAGACAGCTGCTCAGTTCTTTTGCCTTGACCTGTCCCACTTGAGCACAAATGGACTTAACTGAGCAAGCTGCCTCTTAAATCCACTAAAGCTTTTCATTAATGAGCCATTTGGGCTTTCTGCAGGATTCTGGAGCCCCTCAAGACCTGCCCACCCCATCCTTGCCTCCCCCGCTCTCTCTTCTCACTCTCTGCTCACCGACTTGGACCACACTCCTGGTCACTCTCACCCAATGAGGTCTGGCTCCATTTTTGAAACCGTCAAAGAAAATGCTTCCATTTTACTAAAAACTTGTTCACCCGATCTCTGCGGGCTCTGGTGCCTGGTTGGGAGCCCTTAGTCAGCTCTACATCCACCCTTTTGTGTTTTCCATTTTTAAGTTGTATGTTTATCTGGACAGCTGTGGACAGGCTGTACCTGCCGATCATAAGCATCCTTACAAGTGCACCTGGGTGGCTCAGTCAGTTGAACGTCTGACTCTTGGTTTCAGCCCAGGTCATGATCTCACGGGTTGTGGGATCAAGCCCCACAGTTCCGTGCTCAGTGGGGAGTCTGCTTGGGGATTCTCTCCCTCTGCCCCTCCCACTGCTCACACACCACTTGCGCGCGCGCTCTCTCTCTTTCTCTCTCAAATAAATCTTAAAAAAAAAAAAAAATAAGCATCCTTACAAGTAACTTGGTTTTCCTTGTTTGAATCATTCAAAAGTTTTAAAACCAAGCCAGAGCTGTTATGACCTGGTTTGCTTTGGGGGCAGTCTCTTCAGAGAGTTCTACTAGAAGTTCAAGGTTGTGACACTGTTTTTCTGCTGGAATTGGTTAGGCCCTTATGTTTGTCACAAGAATCACCTTCACGTCAGGTACTTTCTGTGCTCCCTGAGCACAGATGCAGGGTGACACCATGTGCATCTGCTGGGGGACAAGTCTTGAACTGTTGCCTCCAACCCAGGAAGGGATCTGGGAGAGCTTGGAGTGCTCACTAAAGACAGCTCCTGGAGTGGTCAGAACAGCAGCAGCATCGAGTAATAATCCTTATGTTAAATGTAGCTGCAGTAAACCAAAAATGGTCCCCCAACAACGTCCGCAGCCCAATGCTCAGAACCCACGACTATGTGACCTTACTTGGCAAAGGGACTTGGCAGATGAGATTAAGGTAAGGATCTTGAGGCGGGGAGATGAACCTGGATTATCTAATGAGCCCTTGTAATCACAAGGGTTCTTAGAAGGAGATAGGCAAGGCGGGGTCAGAGAGAGAAGATGTAACAACAGAAGTAGAGGTCAGAATGATGTGGCCACCAGTCAAGGAATGTGGGTGACCTCTAGATGGTGAACGAGACAACAGATTTTCCCCTAAGAGCTTCCAGAAGGAATCAGCCCTGCTGACTCATATTTATTTATTTATTTATCTTAAAGAATTTGTTTATTTGAGGGTGCCTGGGTGGCTCAGTTGGTTAAGCGACTGCCTTCAGCTCAGGTCATGATCCTGGAGTCCCGGGATCGAGTCCCATATCGGGCTCCTTGCTCAGCAAGGGGTCTGCTTCTCCCTCTGACCCTCCGCCCTCTCATGTGCTCTCTCTCTCTCATTCTCTCTCTCAAATAAATAAATTTTTAAAAAATCTTAAAAAAAATAATAATAATTTGTTTATTTGAGAGAGAGAGCACAGAGGAGGAAGCAGGCTCCCCGCTGAGCAGAGAGCCCCATGCGGAGCTCAATACCAGGACCCTGAAATCAGGACCTGAACTGAAGGCAGACACACTTAACGGACTGAGCCACCCAGGCGCCCTTATGCTGACCCATTTTTAGACTTATCTTTAGTTTCGACTCTGGATAAAAGGATAAGCCTCACCAGAGAGCCTCTCTTGGTCGCCCAAGTGGTCAGTGAGGACACACTCAAGAGGCTGGTCTTTGAGTACAAGCAAAGGCTGAGAAGGCTGCGCTGAAAGGGAGGCTGATCTGTGGGTTTGAGGTCAGGGAATGGGGCAGATGCCAGATTGTAGAGCTAGGGCATGCCCTTTGGTACTACAAAGAAACAGGTTTAGAGGAAAAGGAAAGAAATTGCCACTGTAAGCAGCAGCAGAAAGTTTCTGGAACCCATTCGTTTAAGAGGTGATGGAAGCAAAATGCAAGTGATTTGGGAGTAATTTGTAGCAAAGTTACAGTGAAAAGAGCCATTGTAAATATTTTGGAGACATAGCCCTAATCTTTTGGGTGGATGACCAAAACATCTAATTGGTTCAGTGAGCCTTGGTTTTGACCCAATATGGTAATTTGTGAGCTCTTAGTTAGGAGGCCAGAATTATTATTCTAATCCTTGTGCAAGCCAGGGAACCTTGGACTGTAACCCTCTTGTGAAGTCTGCTTTTAGTCATCGGGGAAACTGCCTGAGCCCTAAACCAGAATTCAAGAAAAAAGCAATACAGCTATGTTTTTTTAAAAAGAAAAGAGTATTTTTAACTAGTTAATTTGCTATGAAAAACGAGGATCAATTTTATTTCCTCTTCTGCAGACTGAGAATAGAATTTATTGCAGTATATTATAAAAACTCCATTATGGCAAAACAGGATGACCTTTTGTTGTTTTTAATAATGGCATTAGACCTGCAGGAAGCTAAATCTGATGCGGGAAGAGTGGCATTATAAAACAGACAAAAATTTTGAGAGGGAGTTGAGTGGGAGAGAGCGTGTGTGTGCACGTGTGTATACACACCCATGTGCCTGTTTACCCCATACACTGGCATGAAGTGTTTCTCATGGTTTGTTGCTAGGAATACAGAAATTTAAATATAATGTAAAAAGACTTGGTTTCAAGAGACCAAGGTCCCCATTCTGGTTCTGCTCCGGGCTCCCCACAGTACTGCGCCTGTACAATGTGTGGGGGCACTGGGGCCCCTCAGTGAGGGTGAGGCCACGCTCTCCTGTGTTTTCTGTGGCCTCCCACAGACCATGGACAGCAAGCTGGTGTGACCTTTCTCCTGGGGAAGAGGATTCAGGGATTATACTGTGTCTTATCCCGGCATGTGGGGGGACAGGGTCTCCTGTGTTTATTGAGAGGTGACATTTAAGGGAAAATCATTCATCTTTTCTTCCCAATTTCTGTTTCTCTTTCAGATTGATTCATGGTGCAAAGATAATAGCTATGTGATTGCCGGTTATTATCAAGCTAATGAACGAGTCAAGGATGCTAGGTATGTCCGTGCAAAAACCCTGTTGTCTGAAAGATTGATCATGGGACAGACCATCTCTGATGTGCCTTTTGAATTCTGTCGTCTCTGTGAGAACAAAACCCCTCCTCGCCTTTTATGCTTGTTTGTGGTGTTTGAGGGGAACTGTGGTGTGGGTGATTCCAAACAACAGAAATCCCAGCACTTAAATTAATTTGGGATTGTGTTTTAGATCTTCTTTATTTTGCTTGAAGGGAGTTCACACAATGAAAGCAACAGGTAGAGGCCTCCGATTTCTGTCCCAGCTAGGAATGGCGTAGGGCAGAGCATTAGGAAAGAATACTGTTCTCTTTGGGGGCGCCTGGGTGGCTCAGTCGTTAAGCGTCTGCCTTCGGCTCAGGTCATGATCCCAGGGTCCTGGGATCGAGCCCCACATCGGGCTCCCTGCTCGGCGGGAAGCCTGCTTCTCCCTCTCCCATTCCCCCTGCTTGTGTTCCCTCTTTCGCTGTGTCTCTCTCTGTCAAATAAAAAAAATTTTAAAAAAAAGAATACTGTTCTCTTTGGAGACAAATAAAACAACTTTTAGATTTGGTGCTCTTAGGGTCTGATGGCTGTGGTGAAGATGTGATGCTGGCAGATTCCTTCATGTGGGCCTCTGGTTCTCATGGAGCAAAGCTGAGGACTTTGTTTTCTTTCTGCCTTTGTCTCAACAGAAAAACTGATGACACACTGGGGTTCAGATGATTTGAGGAGGGCTCATCAGTGGGTTGTTTCCTAAGGTCTGGGCAGTATGTACTCACAGAGGGTAGTGCTGTGACAGAAGGTGGTACCATCCCTGGGCCTGCAGGAAGGGAGGAGTGCAGCAAAGAAGTCTGCCTCACAGGAGGCACTGCCTTTTGGTTTAGGGACACGGCCAGCAGCCAGCCTGCTGTGTATGACCTGACAGGGAAAGCCCCAGAAGAATCGCTCCCCCGCCCTCTGTGTGATTTCCTCCAGACGGGAGGTCTCCTGCAGGGCCCTCTCCTGCTCTCCTCACACTGTCAGATAGAGCCAGCTGACTCCGGTGTCCAGGCCCTTGGGGGCTACAGGGGAGGATTCCAGACCAAAATGCCGCCTGGAGTTATGTGCACTTGCCTGGCATAGGCCAGAGGGTGGACTCAGTAGTGTTGTTGTTGTTGTTGTTTAAAGATTTTATTTATTTGAGGGAGAGAGAGCATGAGAGAGGGGAGGGGCAGAGGAGAAGCAGACTCCCTGCTGAGCAGGAAGCCCGACACGGGACTCGATCCCGGGACTCCAGGATCACGACCTGAGCCGAAGGCAGTCGCTTACCCAACTGAGCCACCCAGGCGCCAGTAGTGTTTTTGGAAATACACAGTAAGCTGGTGCTATCGACGAGGAACAAATGCCCCAGTCAGGACTCAGAAGGAGGCAGGGTAACTAGTGAAATGCTGGGTTCCAGACAACCCCTGTTAAAGCCCCTGCTTGGACGACCACACACACAGGGCGTCTGTGATCCCAGAACCCGCCACTCTTACTAACCTCACTCCTTCTAGGACCCCTTCTCCATTTGATTTCATCCACCTCCCACGCGTGGATGACTCCACAGCTGCACGTCCTTCTCTGATCCAGAGCCTATTCACAGGTCCCTTGTCGGTCTTGGTCTTTGTTACATGAAAGACTGTCCCTGGGCCAGGCTCTGCCGAGCAAAAGCTAAACGCTCTTGGCCTTTGCCCTCGGGTTGCTGGATTGAACATGAAAGATACTGCCGGCTCAGGACTCTAGTGCCCGACTGGGGCCACAGGCCCTGAGGGCGGTGCAGAGGCCGTGACAGCTCGTGTCGTGTGGAACTCCTCCACTAGAATGAGCAGAGAAGCCCTCAGGGAGGGGTGTCGTTTGACTGCCCAGCAGTGGGCAGGGTCCTGTCAGGTGCACGTGTGGAGAGCAGGAGGAAAGAGCGTCCGGGGAGGGGGCAGCGTGAGGTAGACACTGGGTGGATTTTAGAACTGGACTTTGTAAGCAGCGGGGAGCTGTCCTTGGAAGGAGGGTTCCCTGAACCGAGCAGTACTTTGCCACAGTTGCCTTGCAGAGAGGCGAGGAGACCAGGCAGGAGGTAATGGCACCAGTTTGTCGAGTGTAGATGCCTCCCTTTCCTCCCACCGCACCCCAAATCCCCACCTCACGTGGTTGCCCCAGACGTACGTGCACGGCTCTCACCTGTGTGCCTCCTTTGGCTCACAGCTACGCGGTCTTCCTGCCTCTTTTTGGACCTCATTCCATTTTCATGCTGCTTGGAACTTCTAGGCTCTCCTGCTTCCTTCACCTGCTCTGCTCAGGAGGTTTTGCATTCCCCCATCAATGTCTGCCTGCTTCCTAACAGGCCCTTGTCGGGGCTGTCGGGGAATTAAACATGAGCTGGGGGACAAGAGTGCCCAGTCACCCTTTTGAATCCCTTCTGATGAGTCTCTGCTGAGATTGGGGATTCAGTCCTCACGGTGTGTGTGCGCCATTGCTGTGTTAGGATTTACTGGCGTTGTCCTTTCTAACCCTCACAAGGACACTCAGGTGAACAAAGTCTAGCTAGAGATGGTCACTGCACAAAGGCCACACACCTTGGAAGCTCAGAAGCTGAAATTATGCTAATTTCCTTCTTTAATACTATTTGCCTCTACCTGGAAAACCTTCACTTCTCTCTTCAACCAGACTTAGCTAAAAATTTGCTCTTCTTTTAGAAATTTCAGCTGATTGGGACGCCTGGGTGGCTCAGTCAGTTAAGTGTCTGCTTTTAGCTCAGGTCATGATCCCGGGGTTCCGGGATCAAGTCCCACATGAGGTCTTTGCTTAGCGGGGAGCCTGCTTCTCCCTCTGCCTCTGCTTCCCCTGCTTGTGCGCTCTCTCTCTGACAAATAGATAAAATCAGATCAGCTGATTATCAGTGTCTCACAGCATGCGCCTTAGAACCAGGTAGACTTAGATTTGAATCATAGGTGACTTACTGATTTACCTCTTGGGCCTCAGTGGTCCTATCTATAAAATGGTAGTAAAAGCTCATGCCTCAGAAATTGGTCTTGAGGACAAAGTGAAGCAACATACACCATGTTTAGCTTTGTGCTTGGTTCAACGTGGAGGCTGGTACTGTTACTAGTCCCATGATTACTTTTTTCAAAAAAGAATCACTCAAACAAACTATTGGGATTACACTAAAATAAAAAGCTTTTACATGGGGGCGCTTGGGTGGCTCAGTCATTAAGCATCTGCTTTCTGCTCAGGTCGTGATCCCAGGGTTCTGAGATCAAGCCCCATGTCGGGCTCTCTGCTCAGCAGGAAGCCTGTTTCTCCTCCCCACTCCCCCTGCTTGTGTTCTCTCTCTGTGTCTCTCAAAATAAATAAATAAAATCTTTAAATAAATAAATAAAAAGCTTTTGCATGGCAAAGGAAACCATCATCAAAACAAAAAGGCAGGCTAGTGAGTGGGAGAAGATGTGTGCAAATGATATATCCCATAAGGGGTCAATATCCAAAATATATGAAGAACTTATACAACTCAACACCCCAAAAAAGCAAACAATAAAAAATGGACAGAGGACCTAAATAGACGTTTTTGCAAAGAAGACACACAGATGGCACAGCAGACCCAAGAGGGAGGATGCTCAGCACCACTGATCATCAGGGAAATACCTATCAAAACTGCAATATGTCACCTCACACCAATGGCTAGAATCAAAAACACAAGAAATACCAAGCATGGGTGAGGACATGGAGAAAGAAGAATCCTCTGCACTGTAGGAGTGCAAATTGGTGCAACCTGTGTGGAAAGCAGTATGGAGGTTCCCCAAAAAGTTAAAAATAAAAATACCATATGATCCACTAATTCCATTTTCAAAGAAAATGAGAATGAAAACACTAATTAGAAAAGATATATGTACCCCTATGGTTGTCGTAGCACTATTTATAACAGCCAAGACATGGGCGCAGCCCCAGTGTCCGGCCGTGGATGAATGGACATGGGAGACGTGGTGTATATATACATAGACTAATGCTCGCCGTGAAACAGGAGATCTTGCCGTTTTTGACAACATGGTTGGACCTACAGGGCATTAAGCTAAGTGAAGTAAGTCAGACAAGAGAAGGATAATACCATATGGTTTCATTTATATGTGGGATCTAAAAAACAAACCAATTCTTGGGGTGCCTGGCTGGCGCAGTCTGTGTAACGTGCGGTTGTAAGTTCAGGCCCCACGTTGGGTGTAGAGATTACTTAAAAGTAAAAATATTTGAAATAGACCTAAATAAATTAAAAAGGCTCTTAACTACAGAGAACAAACTAGTGGTCGCCAGAGGGGAGGTGGGTGGGGGTGGGGGGGAAAGGTGAAGGGTGATTAAGAGGTATAATATAAAAGTCACAGAGATGAAAAGTACAGCATAGGAAACAGAGTTTAAATAAAAAAAGTAATTGAGTATTTTATGTTATAAAAAGAAATGTAGGGGCGCCTGGGTGGCTCAGTCGTTTTAAGCGTCTACCTTCTGCTCAGGTCATAATCTCAGGGTCCTGGGATCAAGCCCCATATCAGGCTCCCTGCTCAGTGGGAGCCTGCTTCTCCCTCTTCCACTCCCCTGCTTGTGTTCCCTCTCTTGCTGTCTCTCTGTCAAATAAATAAATAAAATCTTTAAAAGAAAAAAAAATGTAAAGGGTGCCTGGGTGGCTCAGATGGTTGGGTGTCTGCCTTCAGCTCAGGTCATGATCCCGGGATCCTGGGATCGAGCCCCGCATTGGGCTCCCTGCTCAGTAGGGAGTCTGCTTCTGCCCCTCACCCTGCTCATGCTCTCGCTCTCACTCAAATAAATATTTTTTTAAAAAAGTCACTAGCTACCATGATCATCTTCAATGTTAGGATGATAATTTCGTGAGTTTCTTTATGGCAGATACTTTATGCAAATGCTGGCTTCTTTTCCCTTTGCACCTAAGGTGTGAGTGAGCTAGGGATGTCAGTGTGTGTCATTCACATTTCGTGGATGAACAGGCCTCCGTGGTTCCAGTCCCGCTCCTTACCATTCGCCATCTGAGCCGTAGGACCTGCACGCCTGCAGTTACACAATGTAACTCTGCCGTCCCTTACAGAGTTTTCATGGTGGCCTGGGGGACAGGAACCCCTGGGGCCCTTTCTCTTTGAAACTGCTTTGTTGTTTCATTTTTCCTAATCCTGCAGACTTGCAATCAGCACATCACTATAAATTCTCAATTTTGAACTTGAAAATAGAATAATTAGATAAAATAATTCATTTTCATAAAACATTATTAATCTGCCTTTTTTTTTCAGCTCAGTCACAACATAATTGTATAGTGTGTTTCCTTCAGTAAACCCACAATTATCAATGTGTTTTTATGGCTGTTAAAATATACTTGGCTCAGTCCTTACTTCAAAAAGCTCAGACTCTCATTGTGCTAGGAAGATAAGATGCACAGAAAGACAGCTGCATGCTAAGTATTAGGTGTTAAGTCACTTTAGAAATAAACAGGGTGTAGACACGGGACAAATGGACCCCCTCTGAGGCAGTTTAGCAAGACCTCCCATAGAGGACGGTGTTTTCTGGGCCTTGAAGATGAGAAGTGATTCAGGAAGCAGATACCAATGTAGAAGGGTATCCCAAACGGGACAGTGTGAGTGAGGGGGAGGAGCATGTGAGGGAGACAGTCTGTAGACCGTTCCACTGAAATTAAAGACGCACAAAAGACTGCTTCCGTGAGTAGGAACAGTAGCTAGGTCCAAAAGGAGAAGGGCCTGGATCGCCCAGGCTGAGAACAGTGGTGAGCAGCAGGGAACAGGATGGAAGTTTCATTTCAGGAAAATTGATTTGAAGAGAGTTTTCAGGATACATGAAATAAGAAGAGCCTGGAAATTGAGACCGGTTAGGAAGCAATTTTGGAAACCCAGGTGTGGAGTGATCGCCTAATGGCAGGGTGAACTGAGGAGGCGGAAGCAGGGAGCCCATCTGCAGCACCTATGAGGGACCAAAGAAGAGGAGCAAATCAGAGAACTAGAGCAGGCTGGCAGCCCGGACGCAGGAGGCTGCAGCGGGGTGGCCAGGGAGGGTGGGGGTGCGTGGCAGGCCTCCAGGGTGCAGACCCTCGAAGGTTAGGTAAGGGACAGGCGCCAGATTGCACAGTGGTCACCAAGGGACAGGACTGTCAGCTTATTAAAGGTTAAGATGGATTAAAGTTTTAAGAAACGTGGTTGAAAGGAGAGAGGTTGGACAGGGGCTAGAGGGAAGCAGTTAAATTTTTTTCCTAAGAAGGGAAAGACTGGCTCAGATTTGGCACCAGAGCAGGGGCCACTGGGAGGAGAGAACATACAGGAGGCCCCCAAGAAGGAGGTGTGCACGGAGGGGCCTGTGGATGCAAGGAGGCCTCTCTGTGCCTGAGATAGGATGGGAAAATAGCCGGGGGGTGGCATAGGGACGATGTGGGAGCCTCTCTAGTTCGCCTTAATGGACTTGAGGTAGCAAGTCATCATTTATCAAGGTTGGGAGGGGCCAGAGCCCGAGATTGAAGGCTGACAAGCATGGAGAAGATTTGGAATGGCCTAGAGATTTTCAAAATTAAAAGTCAAATGGCTCGGGTGCCTGGGTGGCTCAGTTGGTTAAGCGACTGCCTTCGGCTCAGGTCATGATCCCGGAGTCCCGGGATCGAGTCCCACATCGGGCTCCTTGCCCGGCGGGGAGTCTGCTTCTCCCTCTAACCCTGCCCTCTCTTGCGCTCTCTCTCTCAAATAAATAAATAAAATCTTTAAAAAAAAAAAAAAAAAGTCAAATGGCTCAATTGCCAGCAGCTAAGAGGTGGACGGAGTCCCTTTGCAAGTGTGCGATGGAGTGGGTGGCCCAAGAGGCGTCTAGCCCAGAGCTCAGTGGGTGGGAGCGTGCAGCGAGATCTGTGGACTCAAGGGGTGCTCTCCGTGGGGTTCCAGGGAGCCTTTCAGTTTAGAAGATGCCTCTTCCCGAACGCACTGACCTGCTTTGCACCGTGCTCCCCGCTGCCCTTATGGCATTCCCTGTCCTTGGCACAGGTCCTCGCGGCCCCTGCGGTGACCCAGGGCCATCTAACAGGCGGGAGGAGCACGCAGGTGATTGGTGCCGCCCTTTGTGGTGGTGCTTGTTAGCCCTGCCGTACGGACACCATGCGGGACGGCCGAAGCTGGTTCGCAGTCGACTCACTGCCGCGTCTTTTGCAGTCCAAACCAGGTCGCAGAAAAGGTGGCCTCCAGAATCGCCGAGGGCTTCAGCGATACGGCTCTCATCATGGTGAGTCCCTCTTGGGTGCTGTCGTGTTTTCTGTTGCCGAGCATCCTCTGGCTAACATGGAGCTCTGTCCCATGGGTGGTCTGTGCAGACGCTCCAGCAGGCCGGTGCTGCCCTCTGTGGTGTCCTCCTGGCTGCAGCCTCAGAGCTGCTGAATCGCAGGCGCAGTGTGGATGCTATAGAACGCTCCACGTCCCCACGGCGGCGGTGGGGGGGGGGCTCCCGCTCAGCGGTTCTCAAAGTGGGGTTCTGTGCCAGCACCACTTGGGAACTTGTCAGAAGTGCAGATTCTCGGGTCTCAGCAGGCTGCTTTAATAAGCTTCCAGATGATTCTGACACACGCTTAAGTGTGAGAGCCACTGAATTAGCCAACAGCCCACAGGGAAGGAAGAAGTCAGACAGTAGCGAACATCAAAAGCCTTGTTACACAGGCTCAGTTCAGACAGAATTCTAACAGGGAGGGAGAAAGTAATATTCAGAAGCTCCGCTTTTGTGGAGTACTTAGCATTTATTCTGCATAACACACAGTTAACCTCAGACCACACTTGAGGTGTGATTGCATGCGTTGGATTTTCAGTGTCTGCACCACGGGGAGGTGCCTGAGGACTTCCAGAAACGTTCTGGCTGCCGGCTCTTTGTTAGCTCTGTTCACGAGTGCATCCTTTGTCTTGTGCGCAGGTAGACAACACTAAGTTTACGATGGACTGCGTGGTACCTACGATCCATGTGTACGAACACCATGAAAACCGATGGCGGTGCAGGGACCCACACTAGTGAGTGCTGCGTGCTCGCGATGACCTGTGTGTACTACGCTGGGGGCTGTTCCTGGGCACCCAGCGCCCACTGGGAGGCTGGCCCCGGCCGTCTGTTTTTAAGTTAGCATATTCTCCAGGGCAGTGTGCAAACCTCATACAGAAATCATGCATGCTTCCTGGCTCCTGAGAGAGCCTGAGTGTTACCCCTGGGTCGTCTGCCCCCTGCCCCCTGCCCCAGGGCACTGCTCTCAGGCGTTTGCGTTGGTCATTAATAATCACTCAGAAAGCATCCACCATCCCGCTCCAGCTTCTTCAGATCTTCATTTGGAGGGGGTCTCTTTCAGTTCTTAACCATGCCACATATTCTTCATGCACGTCTCTGTGTGTTTGAAACTTGAGTGTCTACTAGCATTCAGATTGTTTTCCTTTATACCACTGTGTGTGTGGCCGGTTTTCTGTTCCCTCTGTTGGAAAGCCACCTGTTTTCCGCTGAGAGGCTGATCTCTCCTGTTTCACCTCATAGTGATTACTGTGAAGACTGGCCAGAGGCCCAGAGGATCTCAGCGTCACTCCTGGACAGCCGGTCCTACGAAACACTTGTGGATTTTGATAACCACCTGGATGACATTCGGAATGACTGGACAAACCCAGAGATCAATAAAGCTGTTCTGCATCTGTGCTAGGGAGGGGTTTTAGTGACTGGTCTCTGGGCGTTTCCACTACACTGAAGAAGAAAGCTATTTTTAAATGTAAATAAGGTCTCTCGTAGCCTGTGTGGGAAGCGGACAGTTAGCAGAGGTGGTTGTGCCCTGATAGGGCAGAGTGTCCCTCACCATCTTTCTAATTCAGAGTCTCTAGAAGAGGTGCACACTGTCCCACCTGACCGTCCCTGTGGAGCCCTTCCCAGTTATATGTTGCTCTAATCCTCCAAATCAAAGCTGTTTCTGCTTGTCTGAGATTGTTCCTCTTAAACAGTTTTAACTAACCTTTTATAATCTGGAGAGAATGCCTTTTAAGGCTTATGAATTACCTTTAAAAGAAAAAAGCCCAGATCTTCTACTCGCGTGGGTGTGTGTGGGTTTTCATCCTGTCGGGGTTCGTGTGGTCCGGGATCCGGCGCACGGCGTGCCACTGTTCGCAGTGGGAGGCTGCGGCTGTGAGCAGCGCTGCCCCGCTGGTCGGGCTCACGTAGCCGCCGCGACTGCACGGTGGGAATAATGCCACTGTTGCCTGAGAAACCGTCATCGTTAAGGGTGAAAACAGACGCTGCCGCCGGTAATGGGAACTTGGATGGGAGCACAGTGTAATGCTTCTCAATCAACCAGAAAGCTCGCAAACCTGCGGAATCAAAACAGGGAAAATGGAGCTGCGCTCAGATGATCTTTAAAAGGCAAAAATCAGTCCCCACCCCTGACTCACTTCCATGATTATCTTAAATGGTTCTACTCTGTGTACTCAAAATAATTGTTTCTTTTGTATTTGAAGCAACAAAAGCCAAATAAAACTTAGACTCCCCAGGTTTTACAGAGCACTCTGTATAGTTGGAACACTGGGTCAGACCTAGGAGATGATGGGGAGACTCTGTGGTTCTGCTGCATTGTTTTCTTTCCTAGATGAGTCATTCTCTCTGCCCTTTCTTCAAACATGTCTTCCCCTTAATTTTTGAAGCTGGTGTTACTTGGTGTGAGGACACGGATGGAGGGGGTGACGGGTCGGCGTGCTCCGTTTTCCTCACTTCTCTCGCCTCAGACGCCCGACCCGTCACAGATGGAATGCAGTGAGCAGTCTCGTCCTGACTGGGCTTGTGTGTGTTTCAGAAAGGGAGAAGGATCACCTCCAGCATTTATCACACACAAAAAAAGGCTCTTTTCCTGGGATTAAAATGGGCACGTGCTACCTGCAGCTCAAGGTCAAGGGGAACTGGCCGAGCTATTTGGAACAAAGGTGTGGCTAAGCCCAGTTTTGGAGACATTTTAAAGACCACCTCCTGTTTTCCCTCATTTTCACCTCTCTCTGGAATTCTCATACTTGTTTTTCGCATCAGCTTCCCAGGAATGTAGTGCCACCGTCCAGTTCGGATTTCGGCCTCGAACCAGGCTCCCTCTCCATGGCTGAGTCAGGCTTAGGTTTGCGGAAGGACTCATGTTAAATATTCCGAAAGGAAGAATGTATCTTTAAAAAAACAAAAAGAGACTTCCAAGATGCAGATGCCAGCTCCTACATCCTTGTAAAAACAGCAGAAGCCTGTGCTCGGTTCCCCTGCCTCTTGCCTCCAGGCCTCACTGTGCAGTCTCGGGGGCCCTGAGAACCAGATCCCCGTTTCCCTCCCAGGGATGAAAGTAAGAACCTGCCAGGTAGCTGCACATTCATATTCATACTCTGCCTTTTTCTAGAAAAGACTTAAACGAACTGACACAAAGTATATTTGTATACTGAAAAATTCTTTGTCCATCAAAATGTTCCTAAATAGTTCTTTCTCACTTGAATCCAAGGGATCGGAGGGCAAGGGGTGTGTGTAGAGGTGCCCCTCAGAGCCAGCCAAGTGCTCAAAATCATTCTGGTGGACCTTGTCTCTCCCGTGGCACCCATCCAGTAAGAAATGAGCAGGAAAGGTAAATTTTTTTTTTTTAACATTTTATTTATTTATTTGAGAGAGAGAATGAGAGAGAGCACATGAGAGGGGGGAGGGCCAGAGGGAGAAGCAGACTCCCTGCCGAGCAGGGAGCCCGATGCGGGACTCGATCCCGGGACTCCAGGATCATGACCTGAGCCGAAGGCAGTCGCTTAACCAACTGAGCCACCCAGGCGCCCCAGGACAGGTAAATTATTAACGGATAAAAATGTCATTTCCATTTCTAATCATGGTTGCCTTTAAGAACTGAGTACACTGAATGTGGAAGGTCTTCAGGAACTTCCCACATAACAAAAGCAGCATGCTCGCTCGGGGGAAATCGGCCTTGCTAATTCTAATTAAATTAGGTTGATTTAGGATAGAAAACAACTTAGAAACCTTGAGCAATTTAAATCTTCAAGTCCGTTTTCCGGGGATACGGTATTTTCAGGCCACCTTGGTGTAAAAAGTCCTTGTGTAATTAGTTTTGGTTGAACAGCTCATTTCTCGGATACACTTGGCCAACCTATTGTTCCCAGGTATAGTGATTCCTAGTTATGAAAGAAAAATACTTGCTTCTGAAACTGCCCCTTTTTGGTACTGGCTGACCCCAGTAGCTACTTCATGACATCATGGTAGGTAGATGCAAGAAAAATAGCCACCAGCATCAATCTCTGGACCCTGCAGGCATGTTTAGCCATTTTAGTGAAGACAGCGGAGTCTAAAGGTAGACTTCCATTTTACTAACTGACATTCCTTGAGGCTTTTCATCAACTCAGTGCCTCTTAAACATTGGCTTTTCCTTCTCCAATTCAGGAGAAGGCCTGGCAGAAAATGTTGGTTTGTGTTCCCCCTGCCAACTCTCAGGTAGGCAATGTAGTAATCTGACTTCACGTTCTTGTGCTTCAGAATCTAGGGGATAACTTGAATATTTTTAGCATAATTTTGACTTATTTCTTCTTAAAATGCCTGAGATACCTTTGAATGGGATGCAAAATCTGATCAGCTTTGCCATTTCTTAGAATAAATTGCTGTTCTTCCAAGGATCCTTTTTTTTTTTTTTTTTTTTTTTAAGGATTAACATCTTGGGGTAGACATTTCCTTGCTGTGATCTGAAGATTTTTCTTTAGACTACAAGACCTCGTCCAGCGTTAGAACTGCCAAGAGTTGTGTTCTTGGTCTTCTGCTTTCAAAGCAGTGGAACGATTGCCAGCAAAGCACCCACTTGAATCTGACTGGAGGAAACCTTTGGCCCGAACCTGTGTTGCCTTGCAAAGCAGAACAACATACTATATTTAGCGCTGTCCAAACAAATGTCCCAGATACCATTAATAAACCTGTAAATAATTGCGTTTCAGAATGATGGTGAAGTTCTGTGGGCAAGGCTGCTGGCCTGGCACGGCCCACAGTTGCTGGGGAGTCTATCCGAAGGCAGGACACCGGCCAGTTTTCCCAGGGCCCTGGGTGAACCTCGGGCACTGAGGATCCAGTGAAGCCCAAGCTGGACAGGATTCAGTACCCTCCAGGTCCCCTTCTCCATAGCGGCCTCATTACCAAGGAAGAGTTGCTCATTTCTCAGCACTGGGTTTTCTCAGAAAGGAGAATCTTTCTGTTGCCTCCAGCAGTGCCTCACTCCCTGCTTCTTCGGTAGGAGGTATGTGGTAGTGAGTCGTCGCAAGGGCCAGGTGTGAATCCCAGCTTCACCGCCTTCGCGCTCACAGCACGTGCTGTGAGCACGTTGTCTCTCGTGTCTTGTCTGAAACAGGAGGTGATAATGCCTGTCTGCAGGAATCTCATGAAGACCAGAGGGAAGAATACATGTGCTCGTGCTTAGCGGAGCATGTTAGGGCCCTGTTGACGGGAGTTCCTCACTGCCAATGTTTTAACCATTCCAGGCCAGACTGAGAAGGAGCCAAGTGCTTATTTGTGGTAGACATCCAGTGCATGGTCAGTAAATGAGTGAATGAACGAAAGCCTCCCTTCTCAAAAGGTAACCGCAGCTTACATCTCCGCCATCCTTTTCCTTTACATTCACCTGCCCAGCCACCCAGGGATGCTTCGGGGCCTTGTCTGCATTTTACAGGTGGGAACCAGGGCCCAGGTGCACATGCACATCTGTCTGAGACAGACCAGAAGGGGAGGCAAGGGCTTCGGGTGCGGCCCCTCCCCTGGGAGACCTCTTTCCCACTCCCCCTGGACTTCCTGCCGCCGCCCCGGTGCTAACACATTTTCCTCCTTACTGTGACCTCAGTATATGCTCACGGCAGAAAATTAGGAAGAAATGTAGTCACTCCCTTCCACCATTCTCGGCCCCCCCACCAAGACAAGGTAGAAAGCAGATCTGCAGATCACCTGGGCACCTTTAATGTTCTGCATATTGAGATGAACCTTGGAGGAGCTTTTAAGAGGTAGAAGGTGTAAATGCAAGTTATTAGGAAATGTGTGCAGATCCCTAGGCCCAGACCCCAAGCAATTTTTTTTTTTTTTTTAAGATTTTATTTATTTGAGAGAGAGCCAGCGTAAGCAGGGGAGAGGGGCAGAGGGAGAGGGAGAAGCAGACTCCCCGCTGAGCAGGGAGTCCGATGATGTGGGGTCCGATCCCAAAGGCACCCGCTGAGCCACCCAGTCGCCCCAGCCCCAAGCATTCTAATTCACTGTGATTCTGGGCCCAGAAGTTGACATTTTTAGCCGGTAGATTCAGGCCACAGTTTTACAAACCCTAGTCTCTGACCAAAGCCCGTGCTTTACCCTGAAGAATTTCAGATCCCCAGGAATCCAGCGATTCAGGCAGCCAGGGCCTGAGGCACTGGACCATTAGGCTGACCCCTGAAACTGCTAACTGGGGAGGGCAGCGGCTGAGAGCCTCATGGCTCCACGGGGCGCAGGCAGGCAGAACCCAGACTCCTGAGTGAGCTCTGTCGCAGCAGGAGGCTCTTTGATTTTTTTCTCTTTTAAAATGTATTGCACACAGAATGCACAAAATGTGTGCTTCACCTTTGAGCAGTACAAAGCAGATTGATGCCAGACTCCCGGCTTGTGAACAATCTCAAAGCCTTACACCCAGGATGGTAGAGCCAGCTCAGTGTCTTACACGTCTTTAATTTTCCAAGTTTGGTCTCGAATCGGTCCTGTGCTTCCCGCTTGCAGGAGGCAGCTTCACAGCCCATGTCCCTGGAGCCCCGTCCTGGTCCCCGCGTATCAGGACACGCCCCCAGAGACCTGCTGTAAATCAGCTCAAAAAAGGGCACAAACTGAAAAAGCAAAATCGTCTGAAGTTCGCCATTTTCTGAATATCCTTCTAATCACCTCTCCCTCAATGCCGGATCTCTGTGTTTTGAAATTCTGAAGTCCTAGATATAAATTTATTGGAAGAGATGTGTCGTGAAACACCTTTATAAGATTGTAATTCATATTTTCTGGACTACATAAACACTTTATTTCTGGAACCCATACATTGCCCACTTACATTCATGTCCTAAATTCTCTGTATCCGCATCTCAGACAATACGTATTTGGCAAGAAATATGTTTTTTGTTTTAATGAAATGTATTTATTGAAGTACAGTGTATACAGAAAGAAGTACAAATTACAAATGTGTAATTCAGTCCATTTTTTCAAAAGAACGAAGTAGACAGGCTCCTATGACCACCACCAAGCTCAAAACACAGACTCTTAGGGGCGCCCGGGTGGCTCAGGTGGTTGAGAGTCTGACTCCTGATTTGGGCTCAGGTCCAGGTCATGATCCCACATCAGGCTCTGCGCTCAGCACAGAGTCTGCTTGTCCCTCTCCCTCTGCTCCTCCCCTTACTCTCTCTCAAATAAATAAAATCTTAAATATATATATATTGGGGCACCTGGGTGGCTCAGTCCTTAAGTGGCTGCCTTCAGCTCAGGTCATGATCCCAGGGTC